TTACATATAAAGCCCTAAACGGTTTAGGACCTCGATACCTGGCGGAACGCCTTCTCCCACCAAGGTCTACCCGTGTCACTCGTGCGAGCCAGGAGGTGAGACTGAGGAGCCTAACGCCGTGGGAGGCCCGGAAGGAAAAGACCAGAAATTGGGCCTTCTCGGCGGTGGCTCCTCGTCTCTGGAACAACCTTCCCCCTGAGATTCGCACGGCTCCCTCGCTGGATATTTTCAAGAAACAATTAAAAACATGGATGTTTGGGCAGGCCTTCCCAACAGATAACTCCTGACGATTTTTTTCTTTTCCTATAGCTCCCCATTTTGTTTAGTATATATATTTTTTCTTTTTTTGTTGCGTCAAATGGCTTTGTGTATATTATTGTATTTTTTTTATGTTGTTAGCCGCCTAGAGTGGTCCTCATACGACCAGATAGGCGGGATATAAAATAAATAAATAAATAAATAAATATTTACACTAATTTTGTAAAAGCTTCCATTGCACAATATATGCTTATTTTAATTTTTTAGCACAAGGTTCCACATCTATTTTGTGATATCTCTCTGTTAATTAACAATGGAAGTAAAACACATCACAAGAGGCACTTCAAAATGTACTCCATTTATTCTCTTTTTTCTCTGTTTTGCATTACTTCAGCATTTTGTTGTTTATTCTTTCCAGTGGAAACCAGCACAAAATTGAATGAGCTCATTATGCCCTCTTAACTTATCAGGAGCTCTGTGGTTTTCATGTGGTTTCTCCCCAATGCAGGTTCCTTGATGTAACCTAAGGGCATCACCCCGACTAAAGCTCATTCCATTCATTTTTGTGGTTTCTCCCGAGTGTGAGACCTTTCATGTACCCTAAGGTGACCACTCTGACTAAAGCTCTTTCCACATTCCATGCATTTATGTGGTTTCTCCCCATTGTGAGACCGTTGATGTGACGTAAGGGCATCACTGCGACTAAAGCTCTTTCATTTTTGTGGTTTCTCCCGAGTGTGAGACCTTTCATGTACCCTAAGGTGACCACTCTGACTAAAGCTCTTTCCACATTCCATGCATTTATGTGGTTTCTTCACAGTGCAGTGTCTTAGATGCGGCGTAAGGTCACCACTGCGACCAAAGCTCTTTCCACATTCCACGCATTTATATGGTTTCTCCCCAGTGTGGGTCCTTTGATGTATTTTAAGCTGCCCCCTGTCACTAAAGCTCTTTCCACATTCCATGCATTTATGTGGTTTCTCCCCAGTGTGAGACCTTTGATGTGACGTAAGGGCATCACTGCAACTAAACTCTTTCCACATTCCATGCATATATGTAGTTTCTCCCCAGTGTGGGTCCTTAGATGTGGCGTAAGGTCACCACTGCGACTAAAGCTCTTTCCACATTCGATGCATTTATGTGGTTTCTCCCCAGTGTGGGGCCTTTGATGTACCCTAAGGTTACCACTCTGACTAAAGCTCTTTCCACATTCCGTGCATTTATGTGGTTTCTCCCCCGTGTGGGTCCTTTGATGTGACGTAAGGTCACCACTGCGACTAAAGCTCTTTCCACATTCCGTGCATTTATGTGGTTTCTCCCCCGTGTGGGTTCTTTCATGTATCCTAAAATGACCGCTGTGACTAAAGGTCTTTCCACATTCCGTGCATTTATGTGGTTTCTCCCCCGTGTGGGTCCTTTGATGTGACGTAAGGTTGCCACTGCGACTAAAGCTCTTTCCACATTCGATGCATTTATGTGGTTTCTCCCCAGTATGGGAACTTTGATGTGAACGCAGATTTCTTCTCCCGCTGAAACTCTTTTCACATTTCATGTTTTTGTATCATTTCTCCCCAGGGTGAGTTCTTTAAACTGAACTAGTGGCACTGGTCTGAAGCTTTCTCCACACTTCAGGCGTTTAAGCCATTTCTCCTTTAGCTCATGGGTTTTTCCAAGCTTTTCTTCCTAGCTTCACACTTGACTGTTTTCGGGGCCAGAAGAAGTATAATTCTGGCCATCGTGTGTTACCTGATAGAGAAAAAAGGAGATGTCTTGAGAATATAGCAGAGAGCAGAATCTAACTGGAGGTCAAACCAAAAATTTGCTCTGTCTTTGACTCCTTTGAAAGGCATATGTCTCCTGAAGGCTTGACTGGCAACATTTGAAAAATTTGCCGTATTGTGCAAACAACATTGGACTCCCCTTGCCTGAATTGATACTTCCCAAAGGGCCAGTGACGGGGAAATATTGTTGATTAATATTAACCACTATCCAAAACACTATTAAACATGAGCCATCAAGTCAATTCTGACTGATGGCAACCCTTTTTTGGGGGGTTTCTAGGTAGAGAATACTCAAAAGTCGTTCCCCATTCCCTGTTTCTGAGACCCTGCAGTTTTCCAAAGGCCATACAGGCTGACCTTATCCGTGGGAGAAACAGCAGGCATCCTCTGGTTCTGCAACCAGATATTTAAACCTATGGGAATCTTGGCAACTTTTTCTCCTGCTGGCAACAGAGGCACAACATTGTGCAGCAATACTGGAACTTTTTTTTTTGAATCCCGGCTACAGAAGCAAATATCCCAGATTCATGCTGTAAAGTTATATAAAATAAGCCAAAGAAAACAGAACCTGAATTTTATAGCCATGAACACTCAGCATAGAGATCATGTCCAAAGTGTTCAGCAGGTGTGCCCGACAAGGACACGGGAACACACAACTTAAGGGTGAAGATAACGTCAGGTCTCTGACCACAGACTGGACAGTGTGATAGTCTATATGGACACTGGGTAATAACTTCTTTCTCTTGGCCCATGCAGATGATTGTGGACTGTTATGCTGTTGCTGCTGTACATAAACGTCAATAGACTTAGTTGCTAGAAGTCTAGTGTCTCTGGGACTGCAACATGGGGCTTCGGCAACAGTCACTGCTAAAAACTGCGACACTCTGACATAAGCACTACTGAAGCTGATGAAGAGTTCTGGAGGACTCCAAAGGTTGCACACCAGGCTGGAATGAAGAAAAGCTTACCCGACCAACCACCAACACTCTGTCCATGGAACAGACCTTTTTTATTTATTTTCTTCCCTAGCACACTTGGGTAAAGATTACTTGGAAATTAAAAGGTGAAATTAAAATCAATTCGGATAGGTTGAAGAACAAGATAAGTAAAAAGATAAAGGAATATAAAACATGAAACATTTTGTGGTTTGGCAGAAATGCATTACTTAAAATGAAATAGATCCCTAAATTATATTTCCTATTCTGGATGCTACCAATAAAGATTATGGGTAAGTACCGTATCTTTTGCTCCATAAGACGCACTCCCCCCCAAAATGTGGGGAGGAAAGTCCATTAGTCTTATGGAGCGAAGGCAGCAAGTCGGTCCCAGCTGGCCCCATGGAGGGGAGCGTCGCAAGGGTCCAGGTGAGCCTTCCAGGACCCATACGATGCTCCCCCCACCCCACGGGGCCAGCGTGGGCAAAATCACCAGCTTCCAGGTGGGGGGAGCGTCGCAAGGGTCCTGGAAGGCTCACCCGGTCCCTTGCGACGGTACCCCCACCCCCGCACAGGGCCAGTGCCGGTGAAATCGCCAGATTCTGGGCATCTTTTGAGGCTTGGGAAGCCTCAAAAGACTCCCAGAACCTGGCAGTTTCACCCCCCTGGCCCCGTGGGGGATGTGGCGGGAGCGTCCCAAGGATCCGGGTGA